TAAGAAAATAAAAGTCCTCTTCACAGTGTTCAATTCACAGGATAATGATGCATGAAAAGAGACCAGCAAACTGCTGCTGAAAGTTTTAGCGACAAAGGAAAAGACTCAGTCTTCCTTCTTTTAATGGGCCTATCTGTGGCAAAGGGATAAAGTAAAAGCTAAAGAAAAAGGGATAAAAGCATTGTTGCAGCAAAACCCTAGGACAATGCCTGAGTTCTAAACTGTTGACCACTACAATGGCCTATATGCTAGAAGGTGACAAAGTATTTAAGCAAACACAGCTCAGTGTCTGACACTGGTGTTAGCATTTATAGGGACTGTATTGCTTCATCAACACAGAAAACAGCAACCCAGTACTCCTAGTCTTAGGTTCAACTATGTGTATCTGCTCATAGTTACACAATAGTGTAATTACACCATAGCTGAAGGGGATGCATGGGTTTACTTTCTAGTCATTTAGAGGTTAGTTGGAAGATATCACTTCTATAAATTGAAAGACTACTTAAGTAGTATGCTTGAATATATTGTAGTTCCACTGCAAAGGGCTAGAGTTTACTCCAATAATTTCTTCAGATAAATTTAAAAGAATACAGACAGCTATTCTATTGGTCTTAAATGTATTCACAGGCCTACAAAACAAAAGCATAAAGATTTCTCTGTCTTGATGTGGTTGGTAATCTCAGCCAAGAACTGTCATCCCTTGACTCAGGGAGGTGCCATACATTTTTACTAAACCTAACTAAAATGTTGAAGCTAAAAAGAAACAGGAGAAAAGAGCAGAAAGAAAGTAGTGAGGAAATAAAGAGGAAAATAATGAAGACTGAAAGGAAAAGAACAAGAACAAAAGAAAGACAGGGAAGAAGAGAGAAAAGGCAAAAGGTAACCATGATAATATAAGAATAAGATTGAGAAGTGTGATAGATACGGAATTAATCTTATTCACTGCTTCACACAGTATCTGACACATAAGAACAGATACACAGTATACATTTATATATTGAGAAAACTGAGTGACTAAGCAGTCTAGTGGGTATGTCAGATCACCCCATGTAAATCAGGATAGCATAAATGTCATACTATGTAAAACTTACAGATCTATTGTTAGAAAATGTTGTGCTCATCAGATCTCTTTTTATATCATTTGTACAAAGTTTAGCACAGTATCTCATAATGAAGACAACTGTAGATACAAATGTTAATACAGAAATAGACATGGAATAAACATCTTACGCTTTCACTTCTGCTAATGGTATACACCTATATGATATCTCAACACCAACCTAGTATGTCCATGAAAGTATTGGACAGAGCCAGACTCACAGCCTAGTGGTTAAGGAAGCTGGATCCCAGGTGGTCAACTATGGTTTGAATCCTGACCCCAGCTTTTGAAAAATACATCAAGCACATGAACATTCATGCCCCAAATTCCAACAAAATGGAGAAGTGGAGAAGGGATTTTGGTGTGACCATATTGCACTGCAGCATGGCCATACCCTATGGGGGTGATTTCTCACTTTCCCTCTCTGGTGAGCAAACACACCCTATATTAAAACCTTTAAACAAACAAAAACATCTAGTAGGGAGAGAGGGAGAAAAATCCATGGGACACAGATGAAACAAGATCTGGCCAGGAGCCAGCCCGGCTGCGGTAGTGCATATTGGTCAACACTGCTATTCGCCAGGCCCAGGCTAGGTGGGATGCCTGGGTTAGACTCCCTGCCTTTGCTAAAAGGTCGGGTGCAGCTGCATGTGCCTGCAACCCCAGAGACCCGAGAGCCTGAGGCAGGAGGGCCCCGAGATCATGGCCAGAGAGGGCAAGACAGCAAGATCCTGTTGGAGAGAGCTAGGCGTGCTGGAGGCTGCTTGGGAGGCCAGGGCAGGCAAATCATAGTGAGACCTGTCTAAACAGAGAGAAAAAGAAGGGCCAGAAGCTGGTAATTATGGAAGCCCAGGTGAGAAGAACACTACGGATCAATAATATTTTCTATTTTTGTATATGTTTTAAATTCTCTGTAAAATAACTTTATTTTAAAAAATCACTTTTAAACTATGCCCACACCAGGCCTCACCCCTGACCAGTTAAATCAGAGTCCCTGGGGTTGAGGCACAGGAATTTTTTCCCCACGGTGCTCTAAGTGAGCCTAATTTCCAAGCAGAGTTCAAAACCACTGCTTTGGTTGTAGGGTGGGGGTAGTCTTCCCCGCTGGGATTTCACTTCTGAGCCTGTTCTCTGCCAAACCCCTAATATCTCTGGGGACAAAACCAGCTGTAGGCCACGGCCCAGTCCAGCCGTGGCAAACACTGCATCTGCCTGCCTATGGCCATTCTCATCTGGCTCACTAGCAAAACCTGGGGTTTTGTCCAGGGGTAGCAATGTGCCCAACTCTCTTCAGATTTTGCCTCCCTCGTGTCACATGACCCGCCTCTGGCCAATGAGGTGCAAGCAGAAGTCGGCCATGCCTGCTGGGGCAGCTTTACTTTCCAGATGTAGGTGCAGCCCCTTCTTCCTCCATGTTGCCTTGCCTCTTCCTGCCTGGGCTGAAGCTGGAAGGGGAGGAGTATCAAGGGTCCCTGAGGGGACAGCTGCCCTCAGGACAACAGAGCAGAAAGAAACAAGGAGCCTAGGTCCCCCGAAGCCATACTAGCCCTGGCCGTCCAGGGGTTTCTGCTACTCTTAGTGTGATGTGACCCAAACTGATAGGCCGGCTACCAGGGCAAAGAGTGCCCTGAGAAGGTACCCCTGTGGGACATGGCCATGCTGCAATCCCTTCTCTGGTTCTCCCCCCTTTCAGGATTTTGTGTATGCGTGCACACACACTTGGTGTATTTTTCAAGCCACTGATCCAATCCTCAAACTGTGCAGTTGGTCATTTGAGATCCAAGTACCTTAACCACCATGCCACCAGCTGGCTTGATTTTGCCATTTCTATGAATCACTAACTCGGAAAAAAACTGCAGAAAATCACCTTTCAAAAGCACTTCAAAAGAACCATGCTCTGTCCCCTTAGATGGCAATGACCCCTAGCCACCTCTACAGGAGGGGACACTGCAAACTCCTCTCACGTGCTGACCTCTGGCAGCTAAAGCCCATCTGCAAGCCAAGTCTCCTTATCCCATGGAAGCGTGTTTGAGCAAATGCTGCTAAAAGCCTATTGCAGGCTCTTCTAAACATATTTATTGATATAGAAAATACCAGTCTTTTAGTTGCTGGGACTTCAAATTTAACCTGACACTCAACTTCACTCCCCTCAATATAACAGAAAAAATTTTTCTTATATATCTGTTTTTTTTGCTCAGGCTAAGAAAGAGGAAAGCCTGACAGGAAAGCCCGCCAAAACCCCTTGGAAAAGGCAATTCCAGAAGCTCTCAAAGAGCTGCTTGAGACCAGCAGTTAGCGCAATGGCTATGTCGCTGGACTCCCACATAGACGACCACGGTTCGCGTCCTGGACCCGGTGACTTAAAACTCATGCTGGGCACGTGTGCGTGCGTGCCCAAGATCCCGAGAGGAGAACGGAGGAGAAGGGATTGCGACGTGGCCATCCCCCCGGGGGGTGATTTCTCACTTTCTGTCTATCTCTCTCTGTCTGGCAAGTGCATGCGCCCTATAGCAAAAATCTCTCCCAAAAAAAATGAAGAGCTGCTTGTTGAGTGTTTTCAACTCAGTCACGAGAGCAAACTACACTTCAACAACATCTCGGGACATCTGAGTTAACTAGTTTTATGTGCAAAATTTATAAAAAGCCATTATTGGGGACAGCCAGTAGCATGGTAGTTGGAGTGTTGGACTCCCACAGGGTGAGTGTTGGACTCTCACTGCAGTTCAAGTCTCAGACCTGGCGGCTTGCTTTCTCACTTTCTCTCTCTCTCTCTGGTAAGCACATGTGCCCTATAGTAAATTTTTAAAATAACGATAAAGTAAATAAATAATTCTTTCTTTAAAAAGCCAAAATAGTGGTGACCAAAATAATGAGGCACATGAATATCAGGTACTTCCTGGGCCAGTCAGGGGTGTGCTAATTAAGGCAGCTGGATTCAAATGTCTGTATGGTTTGAGTCCTGGACCCAGTGACTTGAAAAACACACTGTGTGTGTGTGTGCGTGTTTGCCCCAAATCCCGAGAAGACAATGAAGGAGAAGAGACTGCAGTGTGGCCAAGTCCCCAGGATGTGTGTATGGAGGTGATTTCTCTCTCTCTCTCTCTCTCTTTCTCTCTCACTCTTTCTCTCTTACTCTAGTAAGTACACATGCCCTACAGCAAATTAAAAAAAAAAAAAGAAAAATCATGTACCTTCCAACATGATGCCCTGAGACAGCACCAGCTCCCTTTCCTGGGCTCCTTACCAAACACGCATACCTGGGTCTCAGCATGAGAAAGAGCACACGACCCAGCCTGAGAGTCCGCCCTTCCAGAGCGCCAAGGTCATGAACGAAGACTGCTGGGGAACTGTCCTGGACAGGAAGAGACTAAGGAGACAACTAAGTACCATATGGGGTTGGGGGTTGTAGCCTGGACCAGAAAGAGGCCCATCGGTGCATAAAGTGTGCAGGTTAGGTAATAGCATCTCATCAATGGCGCCTGGACCAGAAAGAGGCCCATCGGTGCATACCGTGTGCAGATTAGGTAATAGCATCTCATCAATGGTCATTTCCTGATTTTGATCTTTGCACTCTGGTTTTGTAAGATGTTAACACTGCGGAAGTTAGGTAAGGGGATTTGAGAACCCTTTGTACTATTTTTGCAACTATTGTTTAAGCCAAAAGTTATTTCAAAATCAAAACGTTTAAAAAAAAAAAAGCCATTATGAAAGATATTCTTCTTTGCCCTGGGAGCCCTGGGAAGGTCTGTCTTCCAAGGACACGTTTGAGTTTCCTTTGCTGGGAGATAGCAGGTGCCAAGAGACATCTCTGAGAGTCAGGCCACCCGTGTCATCCCTAGGTGAAAGTTGTGCTGGGCCAGACGACGTGACTCCCTAGGCCACCTCTACCTTAGTTACTTACGTTGTTCCATTTTCTCTATCACAGACGCTCAGGGTTCTTCCTGGGATCTGTGCCAGCGGTCTGGAGAGGCGGGCGGCCAGCATCATGGTAACAAGCGGTAGGCAGGTCCACTTCCGCTGCTGGTTCTGGAACACAAAACATGCCCTCAGCATTACTCCTGTCCGGGGGTAGGTCGAGAGAGGCCCTTTTCTTCCAGGTTGTGAGCGTCAAACTGGGCTGTGTCTATTCCATTCAGGTCTAGTCATGGTACCAGGAGGTCCCCTCCTGCACCCCTCGCGAGCTGCAGCCTCATGCGATGGAAAGAGTTGGGGACCAGGTGTGAAACCTGGGTTCTTGGCTCTGGCTGTGCCACCAACTAAGGGAGCAACCTTGGACAAGTGATCACCATTTGTAACATCAGGAGGTTGGACCAGACCATGCAGAAACCACTGGGAAGCTGGGAGTCCTGACCCCTCAGGGTTCTACCCCACAGGTCCGGTTCCCTCATCCGTATTCCTCATACCTGGAAAACACCCGTCCGTGGTGAGCCAGGGCATCAACCTTCATTCCCAGCGTGCTCCACGCCCTCATGACCCCGCAGGCAACTGCTCCAGCCCCACGCCACCTACCGCCCAACTCAGCTCCCTGTCTCTCTCCAAAGCCCTCCCCGCCCAACCCCACCCTTGGGGACCTGGCTCTGAGGCTGAATCCATTAGTCACTCATTACAGCATCGGGTCTGGAACTGTAAGTGACTCTTCCATCTAAGTTCACACACACACACACACACACACACACACACACACACACACGCTCTTCGCCCTTCTTCCCCATCAGAGCTTAAATCAATCTTATTGCAACAAAGTCATGTATCACTCGGTGTCACCTTAAGGCTACTCGGCACCACGCTGCTGCGATCCGTGTGCGCACTAGCTGCCCTCCTGCCCTGGTTAACAGTGATTCCTCCCAGCCTAATGGAGAGAGGTTCAGAGGGAGCTGTTGTTCTTTCCTGGTAAATGAGTTCCAGCCTCTCCTTTGCGTACCTGGCTGTATTTTATCCTGGGTTTTTTTCTTATTATTATTAAGTTTTTTTTCTTTTGCCATAGAGTACTCTTTGGAGAGAGAGACAGACAGGGGAAGTAAGAAATCACTCCCCAGAGGGAATGGCCACACCACATTCCCTTCTCCTCCATTCTCCTCTTGGGATTTTGGGCATGCATATACATGTGCCTGGCATGATTTTTTAAGCCACTGGATCTGGGACTCGAACTGTGGTTAGCCATGTGAAAGTACAGTGCCACCTACCGCCCAACTCAGCTCCCTGTCTCTCTCCAAAGCCCTCCCCGCCCAACCCCACCCTTGGGGACCTGGCTCTGAGGCTGAATCCATTAGTCACTCATTACAGCATCGGGTCTGGAACTGTAAGTGACTCTTCCATCTAAGTTCACACACACACACACACACACACACACACACACACACACGCTCTTCGCCCTTCTTCCCCATCAGAGCTTAAATCAATCTTATTGCAACAAAGTCATGTATCACTCGGTGTCACCTTAAGGCTACTCGGCACCACGCTGCTGCGATCCGTGTGCGCACTAGCTGCCCTCCTGCCCTGGTTAACAGTGATTCCTCCCAGCCTAATGGAGAGAGGTTCAGAGGGAGCTGTTGTTCTTTCCTGGTAAATGAGTTCCAGCCTCTCCTTTGCGTACCTGGCTGTATTTTATCCTGGGTTTTTTTCTTATTATTATTAAGTTTTTTTTCTTTTGCCATAGAGTACTCTTTGGAGAGAGAGACAGACAGGGGAAGTAAGAAATCACTCCCCAGAGGGAATGGCCACACCACATTCCCTTCTCCTCCATTCTCCTCTTGGGATTTTGGGCATGCATATACATGTGCCTGGCATGATTTTTTAAGCCACTGGATCTGGGACTCGAACTGTGGTTAGCCATGTGAAAGTACAGTGCCTTAACCACTATGCCACCTACTGTCCTACTGTTCTTACCAGGAATAAGGGACTGCCTGGGAGGCAGTTCCTCTCTGCCTTTGCTGCTACCCTAAACCTAACTGATCACCAGCCACCCAGCCAGTGGGTCAGGAGCACGGTCATTAACTGACCAATCACTGTGATGGCTACTGCAGGGGGGCAGGTGGAGGTGTCTCACCCTGAAGACAGGCGGACAAGCAGACTCTGGCTTGCGTTTGCTGGAGACTTGCTTGTGCTCCTGCCCCATCCTTTTCTCAGCCCTGCAGCCAGAAAGATCTTCGTGCCAGCAGTCAGGTTATATACAGCTCTTGCTTAAAGCCTCTATTCCAGGTCTGCTGAAGCTGGCCCCAATCTTATCTGGCCGCCCTTCCCAGAGCTGACTTTCTTAAGGGTCTTTGTGAATGCCAAGCTATCTTCCGACCTGAAGCCCTGGGCCCTGGTCTTCTGTCTCTCTAGAGGGCTGAGTCCTTCTGACCTACAGAAGGTCTATCTCTACTCCTCCATTACTGAGGGAGCTCCCAGTCAGCACACAGAAGCTGTGCTCTATTAGATTACTCTTCATAGCACTGATTTTCTTTTTCCTATAAGATACATGTACTTGCCAGACAGAGAGGGAAAGTGTGAAATCACCCCCCACCAGGGGGAATGGCAACAGAGCAATTCCTTCTCCTCCATTCTCCTCTTGGGATTTTGGGCATGTATGCACACACACCGGCATGATTTTCAAGCCGCCAGCTCTGGGACTTGAACTGTGCAGCCAGCCATGTACAATCCAGTGCTTTAACCTCCATGCCACCTGCTGGCCCTACAGCACCTATCTTAATCCAAAATTACCTTGTTTACTTATTGCCTCTTCCCATACTAGCCCATAAGCTCAGTGAGGCCAGGAGCCTGTTGGTCTTATTCACTTCTGAATCCTCCAAGCTTACATAAGCCTGACCAAAGAAGGTACCCCGCGAGTCGGGGAGCCTGAGCGAGTGAGCTCCTCTGGGGCACTGCAGAGGTGAAGTCTGCGGTCTGCGGCCAAAGTGGACGTCCCATGGCAAGCTCCTTGCAGGCGCAGCATCATGGAGTCCAGCCTGGTCCTTTCCGGCAGGCGCAGGCCCTCATGTGGTGGCTCAGATTCTTTAACTGGGTGCCTGCTCCCCTCACCCAGCTGGCAAGCATCTCTACCTCCTCCCGCCAGGACCAAAGTCTGAGGTCACTACAGCTGGGTGACTTCAAATCCAGCTGTCTATGATTAAAGTCCTTCCCAACCCTTCGGCTCAACACTTGTGGCAAAACATGCTTCCATATAACCTCCAAACAGAGGGCTGTTCTTCATTTTGTTTTCCTTAGACTCAGCAATATCTAAGAGTACTGGTGTCCAAAAGCTTAAAGAGCATAAAAAAAGTCAGTCCCTTGGCTAACGCACTATTCACAATGCAGCTTACATGCAGAATGGTAGAAATTTTGATAATTTTTCTCCTTTTTAAAAAATATTTTCTGGGAACCAGCAGTTGACGTAATGGCTATGTCGCTGGACTCCCACATAGTCGACCGCGGTTCACGTCCTGGATCCGGTGGCTTGGGGCTCACGCCAGGTGCATGTGCATGTGTGCCCAGGATCCCGAGAGGAGAATGGAGGAGAAGGGATTGTGGCATGACCATCCCCCGGGAGGCTGGTTTTTTGCTTTCTGTCTCCATGTCTTTCTCTGTCTGGCGAGCACATGCGCCCTATAGAAAAAAAAAAAAAAAAAAAAAAAAACCTCTCCAAAAATATATATATATATATTTTTTTTTCTTACTTATTTCTCCCATGAGGAAAAGATAGAGCAATAGAGGCCACTCCATGAGGGTCTTCATGCCTGATCCACCCACAGCCAGCCAGGATCATGGGCATGTACACACGTTTGCTGTTTCTACAGGGAGACCTCTGGACACGAACCTGGGACCTTCTTTCTTTTTTTTTCTTTTTTTTTTTTTTGAGAGGTTTTCACTATAGGGCGTGTGCGCTCGCCAGACAGACAGAGAGAGGCATAGAGACAGAAAGCGAGAAATCACCCCCCAGGAGGGATGGTCACGCCGCAATCCCTTCTCCTCCATTCTCCTCCTGGGCTCTTGGGCACGCACACACATGCTCCCGGCGTGAGTTTTAAGCCACCGGGTCCGGGACGCGAACTGTGGTCGACTACGAGGGAGTCCAGCAACATAGCCATTACGCTAACTGCTGGTTCCCAAACCTGGGACCTTCTCATGTGGCCTCAGCATCGTGGAGAACCGAGTTACTGCCACACCACCATAGCTGATTCTTTGTAAGTTTCTGAAACATGTTGCTACTTTCACTCCAAACAATGCTCTAGGCACTTCTAGGACTCCTCCGGGCCGTTTGCCATCTAAATGCCTCGTGCTGGCCTCACTCTCTGTAAATATTCAGTTCTCAAACTGGAAACGCCACTTACTTTTCTTTTGGTTTGGAAACAGAAAAAGTTATGGGAAGCTGAAGGAGAAAGGCAGGTCGGGTTCCCACAGGGCGGACAATATTCTCCTTGAAACCATGTAATTAGCTGCCCCAGCGTAACTGGCCATGGGACTTGACTCTCAGGGACCAAAATCATAAGGTACTGTCACAAAATCAAGATGCTCACTTTTCAATCTAAAACCCCAGAATTTCTCTCCTTCCTTCCTTCCTTCCTTCCTTCCTTCCTTCTTTTCTTTCTTTCTTTCTTTCTTTCTTTCTTTCTTTCTTTCTTTCTTTCTTTCTCTTTTTTCCTGCTATAGGGTACCTGTGCTCACCAGGGACAAAGAGAAAGTAAGAAATCACTTCCCAGGGGCAATGTCCACGCCACAATCTTTTCTCCATTTTCCTCCCAGGATTTTGGATGCACCCAGTGTGTTTTTGAAGACACTGGGACCCTGGACTCTGCAGTCGGGCATGTGGGCTCCAGCGGCATTAACCTCCACGGCACGTCCTGATGCATGGAGAACTTTTACCTATGGTAGAAACTCCTGGGTCTCCTCTCAAGGGCAACCCCTCTCCATTGTCAATGCATCACCCATTGAAAGCACTTGCCCTCTGGGGAAAAAAAACTGATGTGTAAATCCTTGTCCTGACCTTGCCCCACCTCTTTGCAGTCTGTCATGACTGTACGAAGCTGGGTGCTTTCCTGTAGGCCAGT